TGGTAGCCTGGGGCTAAGTGGTTTGGGAGATTGATTGCCAGTAGGTTCAAAAGGACTTTCTGGGGAGGGCAGAAATGTTCCGTATCTTGATTAGGGAAATGATTACATGGATATATACATTTGACAAAACTCATTGAACTATACATTCCATATGTGTCATATGTGGGTTATATCTTAACATAAAAAATGAATTCTATGTAGACTGAAAGGTCAAATAATAAGCTTGTTAAAGATAACATGGGAGAATATTCTCATGATAGTGGAGTAAGCAACATTTATAAATGGGATAGAAAAAGCACCAACATAAGGTAAAAGAGTGATAAATTGAACTGCATTAGAACTTGATACTTCTTGTCTTCAGAAGAGTATAGTTGACCCTTGAATAACAGAGATTTGAACTACATGAGTTTATCTATATGCACATTTTGTTTTGCAACCCTACGGATTGAAAATTAGTATTCATGGGATGCAAAACCTGCAGATACAGAGGGCCGACTTTTTATTTAGGCAGGTTTTGCAGGGCCTACTCTGAGACTTAAGTATGTATGGATTTTGGTATATGTGGGGGTCCTGGAACCAATCCCCCACATATTCCGAGTGACAGCTGTACTAAGATAGTGAGAAAGTCAAGCTTCTGTGTGAGAGGGGAAAAAAGTATACATGTATATATATACACACACACACGTACATACATATAAGATATATGTATATATGTATTCATATATTTTTCCTGACAACTGCTTCATATCCAAAAAATATAAAGAACTCTTACAAATTACTAGAGGAAAAAAACATCTAAAAGAAAAAAGGGTAAAGATATCAATAGGCACTTCATAAAAGAGGATTTCCGCATAATAAACATGTAAAGCTGTTGTAGCTGTTGTACATCTTTAATCATTAGAGAAATACGAATTAAAATAATAATGCAGTGCCAATATATACACATTGGAATGGCTAAAATTGACAAATAGTACTGAGTGTCAGCAAAGCTGGGAGCAACTGTCATTCTACACTGGGGAGGGAGGCATGTAATTTGTACAACCAGTTTGGAAAACTGTGGCTGCATACCTTATGACTCAGCAGTTTCTGTTCTAAGATACACTCCAGAGAACATTGTGTATACCTGCATACATATTCCATAATATTTTTAGCAGTCAATTTATAAATAGCCAAAAATAGAAACTACTTAAATATCCACCAACAATAGGATGGTTAAATTGTTTTATTGTCAAACAACACAATACTAGACAGCAAAACAAGAAATAATAAACTGCTTGTACCTACGTGGATGAATATCACAAATAGAATGTTGAGTGAAGGCAGAAAGATTCAATAAGCATGTAAGCCTTCACTTATATAAAATTCAGAAATAGGTAAAATGATTTTTTTTGGTGTTAGAAACCAGAATCATGGTTTCTACCATAGTTCACTCACTTTTGGGTGAGGGGTAAGCATAAGGGCTGTATTGGTAATAAACTGTTTCTTGATCTTGGTGGTGGTGAATGGATAATTTATCATTCCTTTATTTGTATACTTTTCTGTGTGTATACTATGCTTTGATTTTTAAAATTTTAGTTTTAGAAATTAATGAGGGAAAAGTAAAGATTCTTTTCAGGAAAAAAATTGCTTAGTAATCCTGATAGTGTGGCTGATTATGAGATTAATGTACAGATGTCAATAACTTTTCTCTAGTAATTAGCATCTGAAAATGGAAGGAGTAAAAATGACCTCATTTACAGTAGTGGATGGCTTCATTCTATCTCCTTGTTTAGGGTCCTGCTGCTTTTTAGCTCTACGGCTTCTCTGCTCTGTTGTCTCTATTGCAGTACCTACCATGGGGACTTACTCAGGTTGTAAAAGCCAATCAATGTGGAGTATTTAACACTCCATGGGGCACACTTTGGTCAGTGGGATGTGGGAGCCAATAGATACATGCTTCCTTTTTTTTTCACCTCAGACTGACAGTCTTGAGATACATTTCATATACCTGTAGCCAACTAATGGGCTAACTATTGCAGCACTTTATATTGGCTCTCTGTCTTTTTTGGTTGTGCTGCTCTGTCCTTCTACACCCTGCAGAAGTATTAATGCATAAGCCTTCTCAGGATGCCCTGGTCCTCACAACAAAAAATTATAGAGCCCGGCATGTCAGTTGTGCTGAGGTTGAGAAACCAGTATCTGAAGCCAATGGTTTGCTTTAAAATCCAAGCTCTTCAGTATTTAATGTCTATGATTTGAGAAATAACCATTGAGTCTTAATTTTTGTCTCTATAAAATAGTAATGATAAATAAATAGAAACAGAGTCCTTAAGGATTAAATGAGGTAAGATTGATAAACTTAATGCCTAGAACATAGAAGGGTTCAACAAACAACAGCAATTGATATTTTTTATTCATGTTTAAAATGCTACTTTCTGGCCGGGCGCGGTGGCTCATGCCTGTAATCCCAGCACTTTGGGAGGCCGAGGCGGGTGTATCACGAGGTGAGGAGATTGAGACCATTCTGGCTAACACGGTGAAACCCCGTCTCTACTAAAAATACAAAAAATTAGCCGGGCGTGGTGGCGGGCGTCTGTAGTCCCAGCTACTCAGGAGGCTGAGGCAGGAGAATGGCGTGAATGCAGGAGGTGGAGCTTGCAGTGAGCCGAGATCGTGCCACTGCACTCCAGCCTGGGCGACACAGCGAGACTCCGTCTCAAAAAAAAAAAAAAAAGAGCTGTTTTTTGACCCTCCCTTAGTCTTTTTCAGTATAAAAACTCGCTTCTAGAGACCAAGTTCTCAAATCCTTATAAATAACAACGAAAAGCAATGAAAACAAAGAAACAAAAACTTGTATAGAACTCCATATTGGAAAACACCAACATGATTCATTTGAATATTTAAATGGATACATGATTTTTTTCACTTTTGTAAATTTTTAGCTAATGGTCTGTTAGCAGTGGCTCAGCATTGCAATTAAAATGTTGTTTGCCAGCAACCCAAGTACATTGTCAAAAACTTTGAGAGCAGTGGTAAAAATTATTAGGAAGCCGGGCATAGTGGTTGATGCCTGTAAGAACAGCACTTTGGTAGGCAGGAGGATCATTTGAGCTCAGGAGTTTGAGACCAACCTGGGCAACATAGTGAGATTCTATCTCTATTAAAAAATAAAATTAAGAAAAAAAATAAATTATTTGGAGGCAGAAGGATACATTCTAAAACAGTAGAAAAGCCAGAGAACATAGTATGTTAACACCATTAAGCACCAAACAAAATAACACTAAGATATATAAAACAAGACATGTAATATTTAGTTTTCTTAAAAATAGCAGTATTCATGTATATATTGGAGGGGGCTATCCTGTGCATTTAGGATGTTTAGTAGCACACAGACTCCACTTCCCCAGTTGTGACAATCAGAATTGTCTCCAGACTTGCCAAATGTTCTGGCAAGTTGGGGAGGGAGGCAGAATAATTCTTGGTTGAGAACTGCTGAGATAGACCTTGATTTGCATTCCATCCCCATGCCTATGGCAGTGTGAATTTAAACACGTTACCTAACACTTAAACCAATGTAGACATAGTGCTTGACTAAGCACCTGACACACAGAGTTCAGTAAATGATAATTCCAATGATGCTAAAACCTGTTCTCTTTTGAACCATTATGCTCCTCTGTCCTCTAAAAGTAAACCACCCCTGTAGTCAAGTTGTTGAATAAGGTCTTCTCATCTAAGATCTTCAAAAGACCTTAAATCTTTTAAGTGGGCAGTTAGTGTAGACTATGGTTTTGTTTTCTCCCCAGCTATGGATTTGCTTTCCTTCCCTCTGTGTTCCTGTTTGGATTGGGCAGAGATGGTAGTACATTTTTTAATTTTAATCTCCTCCTGGCACAGCATTGTGTTTGGTGTTCTTTGCATATTCATAACCTCATGAATTCGACTAATATCTTAAAGATTATTTCAGGCTTACAAAAATCAGACCTACAGAAATCAGAAAGATAAGACTAAGGCTTTGTTGTTGTGGGGTTTTTTCGGTTTTTGTTTGTTTGTTTTGTTTTGAACCCAGAGGCAGCAGCCTATCAAAAATATTTATTCTTTAGCTTAATTTTTTCATAAGAATAATTAAAAGTATTAGTAGCCTATAATTGCTGTGATATACATCATTTTATTTAAATGTTATTAAAACTCTAGACAGGAAAAAGGAAAAAAAGTAGAAATGGAGTCTTGATGTACTATAGGTACACAGCAAGACTCTGTTAATAAATGCTATTATATTGTTATCTCATTTACTCCTGCAGGGTAAGTTGCACTATTCCTGTTTTCTTGAAGACAAGCAAATGATGCTTCCTTTGCTCACGGTCACCAAGGTTTTCATTGCAAAGCCCATGCTATTTTGACAATGCCACGCCACCTCCCCAAAATAAAGAGCATATCTCTCTGCCATAAATTTGTACAGCCAGGTGCAGTGGCTCATGCCTGTAATCCAGCACTTAGGGAGGCCTAGGCAGGTGGATTGCTTGAGCCCTGGAATTCAAGACCAACCTGGGCAACATAGTGAGATCCCATCTCTACTATTATAAAATTAAAACAAAATTTCTTTGTAGACTGTGTATCTTGACTTATCCTGTAACTGCAGGATAACAGCATAAAAATATAGGACATTAGAACTGCATTAAGTCATTCTTTTGTTGCCAAGGAGGCCTCATCCAGCTTCTCTGGCTTTCTGTGGCCATCTCTGCTCTTCTCCTAGTCCAATGCAGTTACATCTGGCTTATGGGAATATGATTTCATATTGCTTAACAATGCAGAGCAGTTAAATCTTTAGCCCTGAAGAGTATGTTTGGCAAGAGCCAAGTAAAGGTAGATTTACTTAGAAATCAAGAGGGCTCTATATCTGATAAGAAAAATAGTCTCAAAACTGCCATGTGATCTGTTTGTTCTAATAAACTACAGAGTAAAATATGTTTTTAAGTTTAGAGTTGCCTAAAACTCGACTGTATTTGCATTATTTGTATTTTTAGCTGAGAGAAGAAAAGTTACAAGAGGAAAAACCCTCTGAAGATCAAATCCACAAGCTGTTACCAGAGGATACAGAAACAGGGAAAAGGAAAATGGATGAACAGAAAAAAAGAGATGAACCATTAGTACTGAAAACAAATCCGGAACGTGTAAGTAAATCACCTTTTTAATGGATACCTGCCTCAGAAATCAGTGGTTAGCCCAGGTGACCTGGACCTGAAAGACCTGTGTTGGTAAACTGTGAGACCAGTAACAGTCATTGACTCTGCAGTTTAAAAGTAGTGAAGAACTTACATCCAGGCCAGAGCTTGACAAAATAATTTTTGAATGGGATATTAAGACTTGTGGGAAGATGAAGGAACAGTGGGAAAAGCAGGTGAGTGAAAGGAAAAACCTAGTATAGTTTACTACTTGTGATAAGATTTATATGTATGTTGTTATTTTGACTTATGTGTTATTTGACATTTAAGAGTTGTACATTGTCTTCTGTCCTCAACTAGATTTTCTTAAAGCATGTATTTTACTTTACTTTATTCGTTGTAATACCCTAAGCAGCACAGTGTAGATATAAGGTAGGTTTAGATACTTAGTCTATATTTAATTAGACTTCTAATTGGGCCAAATCCTGCCTGAGTTTGTTTCATTACTTATTTACCAAGTAAATTACTAGAAAAGGTTGCAAGTTGTGTATTTAACTTACATAAGGAAGCACTTTTGGAGGATCCACTAATTATACCCAAATGGATAATCACAATTGAGTTTTATTTCTTTAGTAAGTCATATTGGATTGGACATATATTGTTTGTGTATGTACTTAGCACATCTTTAGATTCCTATCTTTTAAAATATTTTGTGATTCAGGCTTGTTAATATTTCAGGTTATCTTTCTGGGCAGCTGGAATCGATAAAGCTTTACCATCTATAATGACAGGCAAGATAGCCAAGTGGGGGCAAAAAAAAAAAAAAAAAAAATCTCTGGATCAGCAGTCTACCTCTTACACAGGTCCCAGCATTGTAACTGTTTGTACAACTTTGGCCAGGTTTCTTAATTTCTTTGTGCTTCTGGGTTTATTTATTTTTATTTTTCTGGAGCAGGGTCTTGCTTTGTTGCCCAGGCTGGAGTGCAGGGGTGTGATCATGGTTCACTGCAGCCTCAACTTCCCAGGCTCAAGCAATCCTCCTCCCTCAGCCTTCCAAGTATCTGGGACTACAGGCTTGTGCCAATATACCCAGCTAATTGTTGTATTTTTTGTAGAGATAGGGTTTTACTATTTTGCCCACACTGGTCTTGAACTCCTGGGCTCAAGTGATATGTCCGCCTCGGCCTCCCAAAGTGCTGGGATTACAGACGTAAGTCACTGCCTGGCCTTGGTTTTATTTTTGCAAAGGTGTTTTTCCTGAACTTAAAAAAGAAAATTCTTTAAGCTTTCTTGGTACAGTAGTGTTTGCTGAGTGCCACATACATGTGCGGCTTCTGATTCTAGTTATAATAGTAATAATTAATTATTAAACAAGCCACTTACATTTTACAGGGTTTCAGCCTTCCAAAAGATTCAGTTTACAGGCATGAAGTGTTTGTGTACTCTTAATGCTCTGAACGTTAGAAACCACAGAGGGCAAAAAAGACTGCTACTAGAGAGGCTACAGTTTAGCTAGACAAGAATAAGCTCTATGATGGTCTTGTGTATGTGGTATGTTGTATGACTAGTAGCCCCAGCTGTGGTTTGTAGTCTCTAAAGACCGCGGCTCTACCTCTTCACCCTGACAGTTCTACTACCCATTAAGGTCCTCAGGCAGAATAACCCAGAAGGATAAACTAGCCTTGACAGAGAGAGCTGACCCTTCACAATGGTCCTTTGATAGAAATAACCTGTTGTTCCTAGGTCATGCCAAGACTAGGAAATTAATTATGTTTTCATTTGCCACTACCATTTTTGAAATAGAAATCAAATGCATCCACCTAATTTTAATCTTAAAAGGAGTCAGAAAGTACAAATTCTGATTTGTTCTTGATAACAGCCAGTTTTAGAAATGCGTTGAATAAAATCTGACCTACGAATGTGTCAAGTTTTAGATTTTTGTGATTTTTGCCTTTTTTTCTGTTTTCTCTTATAGTTATTTATTTAAGAGATAGGGACTTGTTCAGTTGACAAAGCTGGAGTGCAGTTGCACAGTCATGGCTCACTATAGTTTCGACCTCCCAAGGTCAAGCAGTCCTCTTGCCTCAGCCTTCCAAGTAGGTGGGACCACAGGTGTGTAGCACTATGGCTGGCCAATTTTTATTTTACTTTTTTTATTTTGTAGAGATGAGGGTGTCCCTATGTTGCCCAGGCTGGTCTCAAACTCCTGAGCTCAAGGCATCCTCTCACCTTAGCTTTCCAAAGTGTGGAATTACAAGCATGATCATGCCAGTGTGCCTGGGCTGCTTTTATATTTTGGAGGACTTTTAAATGGCTCTAATTTAAGAGTTTTTGGTGTTGAGCAAATAATTCCATTTAGTTTGGCCAAGACTACATTCAAATTGAGACCCAAAAGAATCTTAAGAAAGCTGACCAAAGGATTATTTTTTACATAGAAACTATTGTGATTAGAGCGAGACTGATCATTTCTCTCTCCTGTCCCCAAAATTTTAATGACTCCTCTTGTGAAATTAAATGAGGACTCTTCACCGCAACATTCAGGCCCTCAGTGTGATTCTAGCTTATGCTTTCATCCTTGCTTATACCCCAAAACTCTAAGGAGTATATATTTGCTTTCCCCCAAATACATACACTGTGCTTTCCCTTTTCAAGGTCTTTGCTCTTGCATTTTCATCTCATTGAAATGCCATCTAGCTTACCTGTTGGAAGGCTATTTATCTCTCCATGTCCAGTTCAAAAGCTGTCACATTCATGAAGCCTATAGGAATTTCCTCTTCTGTTTCTTGACTCCCATCAGCCACTCCCCCAAGCCCCCACTTTGTAACTTTTATAAGAGTTCTCTCATTTTCCTTTACATCATGGTTTTTTGTGTGTTTGTGTTTCTCTACTAGATTGTAAGTTTGTTGAGTATAGGAAATGTCTTATCCATTTAAATCTCCTGTAGTACCCTGCACATTGGAAGTGTTTGATACATGTTTATGAAATTAAATTTGAATGGAAGGAGGAAGAAGCTTACTCTAGTAGCAGATTATCATGTGTGTTTTTTTTTAGAATGGAAATAAAGTGAGCACAGTGTTTAATTTATTACAATTAGTTATGGTACATTTAATCTAATAATCGAATTATTAGAAAACAATTTGATACAGCAGTTATGGTTATACTAAAGACTAGAAAGCAAAAAGGGAAAAATTACTTGTCATCCCCCAACCTAGAAATGATCCCTATAAACATTTTAGTACATATCCTTATAGATATGTACCATATGAACATATAGAACATATAGATATGTTCATTTCTAAGAACATATAAATATACACCATGTATTGTTTTTCTTTTCAGAAAATGTAACCTAGTATACATACTGGTTTTTTGCTTGTTTTTTTGAGATGGAGTCTCACTCTGTCGCCAGGCTGGAGTGCAGCAGCGTGATCTTTGCTTACTACAACCTCTGCCTCCCAGGTTCAATTGATTCTCCTGCCTCAGCCTCCTGAGTAGCTGGGACTACAGGCACGTGCCACCACGCCCAGTTAATCTTTTGTATTTTTAGTAGTGATGGCATTTCTCCATGTTAGCCAGGATGGTCTCGATCTCTTGACCTCATGATCTGCCCACCTCAGCCTCCCAAAGTGCTGAGATTACAGGCATGAGCCACTGCGCCCGGCCTAGATACTGTTTTATAACCTCTTTTAATTTATCTTAAAGTATGGGTGTTGTCCAGACGTGGTGGCTCACACCTGTAATCCCAGCACTTTGGGAGGCTGAGGTGGATGGATCACCTGAGGTCAGCAGTTCAAGACCAGCCTGACCAACATGGCAAAACCCCATCTCTAATAAAAAATACAAAAGTTAGCTGGCCATGGTGGCGTGCATCTGTAGTCCCAGTTATTTGGGAGGCTGAGGCAGGGGAATTGCTTGAACCCGGGAGGTGGAGCAGTGATCTCAGCATTGAGCTGGGATCACGCTACTGTGCTCCAACCTGAGTGATAGAGCGAGACTCTGTCTCAAAAACAAAGTGTAGGTGTTCTTTCCTTTTTTTTTTTTCTTTTGAGACAGGGTCTCACTGTGTCACCCAGGCTGGTGTGTAGTGGCGTGATCATAGTTCACTGCAGCCTCAAGCCCCTGGGCTCAAGCAATCCTTTTACTTCAGCCTCTGAAGTAGCTGGGACCACAGGAGCCTATTACACGCCTGGCTAGTTTTTTTTAAAGTTTTTGTTTTTGTAGAGACAGGGTCTCACTGTGTTGCCCAAGCTGGTCTCGAACTCTGGGGCTCAAATGATCCACCCATCTCAGCCTCACAAAGTGCTGGGATTATAGGTGTGAACCACCATGCCCGGCCTATTTTTTGTGTGTAAATAAATAATCCACATCATTATCCAGTGGTCTTCTAATATTCTTGACTGTAGAATTTATTTAAGTAATCTTTTGTTGATATTTTGCTATCTTAAACACCACTGTGATGGAATCCACTTGTCTCATTTTTTTCTTATTAGTTCCTTAGAATAAATTACTAGAAGTAGAATGACCAGGTCAAAAGGAGTGCTCTTTTAAACATTTTTGGTGTTTATTACACAGTTGCCCTCCAGAAGGTTTATATTTATTATAGGTTTATTATGCTCCCACCAGTAGTGCGTGAGGAGTACTAAACTAATTTCCTCACATCTTGCCAACTTTGAGTATTATCTTTCTTTTAGTTTTTTTAGGTACAACATTGTTTTAGATGTCACTGCAAGGATTTAATTTATGCATGCTTTGTACCATTTTAGGAATCCATAGTGCCTTGGGACTTATTTTTATCAAAGATGAAAGATGAGGGGTAGATATTGGGAATAGAAATGTAGAGGGGTGGGAGAGCTTTTGTCTAAATAAATAGTTATTTTTTTGTAATGTAATTTATTTTGCAATAACTGAAAGGAACTTGGCGCCGGGCATGGTGGCTCACACCTGTAATCCCAGCACTTTGGGAGGCTGAGGCGGGCAGATCACTTGAGATCAGGAGTTCAAGACCAGCCTGGCCAACATGGTGAAACCCTATCTCTACCAAAAATACAAAAATTAGCCGGGTGTGGTGGTGGGCACCTGTAATCTCAGCTACTCAGGAGGCTAAGGCAGGAGAATCACTTGAACCAGGGAGGCAGAGGTTGCAGTGTGCCAGGATCGTGCCACTGTACTCCAGCCTGGGCAACAGAGTGAGATTCCGTCTCAAAAAAAAAAAAAAAAAAAAAAAAGGAACTTGGCATATATCTGTTATAAAACTGAAATTTTTCTTAAAAGATTAATAGTTTGGAAGTTCATACAAATAAGATCTATCTTTTTGAGCACTTACTACTTGTTAGCTAATGTACTCTAGGTATTTTTAATGGCCTGTCAGTCACTATAGTAGACAGAGGAGTCTTTATTTTACAGATGAGGAAACTGAGGCTCAGGAAGATAAAACAACAACTAATCCATAGTGACAGTGATAGCTGACAGAGCTAGGATTTGAACACTTTTTACTTGGTACTGATTTAATTATGAAGAGAGGCTTATATAGACAGAAATTGCCATTATTCCGTATTGAGTCTATTGGTATCAAAGCTTTTTTATAGAGTGAGAAGAGAATATTATATAAAATTTGATAATGGGTTAGTGCTATTAAAGTTTCTTCATTGAATATTTTGTACAACAGGGTTCTTTGAGGAATGATACCCTACAAAATTGAAAGGCCTCTCTGTAAATTGTAATTGTTCAAATCAGTCTATTGTGTTGCTGTGCCTGTCAGCCGAGAGGAAAACAAAGCATTTCAGGAATGCGGGGTACTCGGAGCCATATGATGCCTTGCATGCCTACATCTACAACTCTTACTTTGATAATACTTGATCATTAGATAATTGGTTAATCATCAACTGATTAAAAGGTTCTTCTTTACCTACTATATAACAGTATTGGAAATTTTTTAAAAAGATGGTCACTTGCTCTCACAGGGCTCATTGCATAAAGCACAACAGACCCCTAAATAAGAAGCTACAGTTCAGTGTGATTAGTTGCTATCCATTAAAAGAAAAAGACTCTCATGTTTAATAATGAGGCAAAACTTCATTACATTATATGTAAAAGACATACCTCTAAGATGTTTCTAATGTAATTGGAAAGACTCTAAAAAGGGACTCCAAAGTAAAACAACAATAAATGAATGGATATAAACAAGATGGAAAAACTAACTCTAGGATAATTTGGAAGCCTTTGCAGAAAAAGTGATATTTTAGATGACTCTGAAAGGCCAATGAGTATTTTATAGGCAGAGAGCGCAGATGGAATTTTAGGCAAAGGGTGTAGCATATCCAAAGGGTAAATAGAGGTTTTAAAAGACTGTGGTACATGTGGAGAGTAAAAATAGTTTGGTTGTGCTAGAGCTCAGGGAGTTCCATGTGTGGGAACTGGTGGGAGAAAAGCTGTGAAAGAAGGTTAGGTCTAGTTTGTGAAGGTTGTGGTATTAGGCTGAGGCATTTAGACTTTATCCTGAAGTCACCAGCAGTTAAGCAGGGGAGTGATTGCTGGAAAGAGAATTCTTGGTGGTGTGGAGGGTATTAGAGAGAAGAAAGCCTGAAGAGAATGAGACCACTAAGTAGATTGTTGTAGTAGTCCAGGCAAAAGATGATGAGAATCTAAGGTAAGGCAATGACCATGAATATAAATGGGAAGTTAGATCTGAGAGACAGTCTAGAAATAGAATAGATTAGAGTGGAAATAGCTTGGAGACTAATGCTCTTAATTTAAGAACCAGTTTTATCCATGTATTAACCCTGTAATTCCAGGAAAATTAACTACTCTGAGCCTCAGTTTGCTATCTGTAAAAGACAGATTATCACCCTGCTTTTAATGGGAGTGACATAAACAGTAAATGAAATAAAATATTTAGAAGTGTTGGAGTACCTAAAGCCACTGTCCAAATGTTACTGTGAATTAGAAGTAAGGGACAGAAATAGATGGCATTTAGTTTTCTAGATGGGTTGGTTATGGGGCTTACAGAAGAGAAATATAGTGAGTTTGATTTTGGATATATTGAATTTGAACCACATTTGAGATTGGTATCTCCAGGAAGCAGTTGGAAACACAGGTTGGAGCTCACAGAGAAGTGACATAGAGAAAGAGATTTGAACCTATAGCTAGACTAGATGCCTTGGGAACTCCAAATGGACAGTGTTGTCTCCCTTGTCTTCCTGCCAGTGTCCTGCACGTCTCTCAGATTCAGAGAATGAAGAACCTTCTCGAGGCCAGATGACACAGACACATCGCTCGGCATTTGTTTCCAAGAACAACTCCTACTCCTTAGCTTTCCTGGCAGGGTAAGAGACTGATGCTGAATTCAGTCAGCATTCTTTGGTTTTGGGGTATGAGATAAAAGGGACTGGGGAGCAAAGGTATTTGTTGTGGCTACTTTGGTGAGGAGGTGGAAGGGGAGAAAAGAGGTGGGAATTGGTTTTCAAATATGGACTAGGGAAAAAGGGCTGACCTGAACTTTTCAGGAAAAATAACATTTACCCCTTTTTTCTGACATCCTCAGGATAGGATTGTGCTAATTGCTGTGCTGCAAAGTATGACCCTTTTATCTTAGGAGGAAACAATAAAGTCTTCTTCAGTCTGACAATATGCACAGACTCTCCCTCTGGACTTAGTAGGAAGTGAGGGCAGAACTGATTTTCTTTTCAGTGCCTAGACCTAAAATATATCTTTATAGGTTATAAGAGGGCAAACTGAAAAGTTTTTAAGACCTTTGTCAAGGAATCTCTTGATCCTTTGGACTTTGTAGGCCCTGGGAAGGAAAGGAAGAAGGAATTGGATAGATTATGGGTGCTAGAAGGATAATGAAGGGCTAGGTGGAGGAAAAGAAAGATGAATAGATAGAAGGGAGGAAGGAAGGGAAGCGAAAAAGAAATGGAAGAAAGAAGGAAGGACTCATGCATACATTCATTCAACAAACATTTTGTGAACAGCTGCTACATGCTGGGCTCTGTTAATACACAGATGTAAAGCTACAATCTTTTTTTTTTTTTTTTTGAGACAGTGTCTCACTCTTGTCCAGGCTGGAGTATAACGGGGTAATCATGGTTCACTGTAGCCTCAATCTCCTGAGCTCAAATGATCCACCCATCTCAGCCTCCCAAATAGCTGAGACCATAGGTGTGTGCCACCATGTCTGGCTAATTAAAAAAAAATTTTTTTTGTAGAGACGAGGTCTCCTTGTGTTGCCCAGGCTGGTCTTGAACTCCTGGGCTCAAGCAGTCCTCATGCTTCAGCCTTCCAAAGCGTTGGGATTATAGATATGAGCCACTGTGTCTAGCCAAAGACACAATCTTCACCCCAGTTCATTTTCTGTTTTGTTTAAAGCTGGTATTGCTCACCCTTATCTCTAGGGTTCAACTCTTTCTTTCCACCAGTATTATTTAGTAGATCTCTCTTTTGCTGCTCCTGTGAATACACACCCAGACCCTTTCTTTTTTTGGGTTTTTTGTTTGTTTGTTTTTGTTTTGAGACAGGAGCTCTCTCTGTTGCCTAAACTGGGGTGCAGTGGTGTGACCACAGCTCACTGCAGCCTCGCCCTCCTGCGTTCAGGCAATCTTCTCATCTGAGCCTCCTGAGTAGCTGGGACTGCAGGCGTGTACTGTCATGCCCAGCTAATTTTTTTTTTCCCCTATATTTTGTGTAGAGATGGGATTTTGCCATGTTCCCCAGGCTGGTCTGGAACTCCTGGGCTCAAGAGATTCGCCCGTCTCAGCCTCCCAAAGTGCTGAGATTATAGGCGTGAGCCTAGATAGACACCTAGATAGACCCTTTCTATTGTAAGACTTTTACTGCTAGTTATTCATAAATATGACAGAAAGAAGCTACAAAAGTTTAAAAATACTATAAAATGCTTACTATTATGATCCTTTATGTAGTTTTAATTTTTGAATCTTTTTTGTATATGTTATTTGTGAGTAGTCTGATTTTCCTCTGTTATTTCTGAGAGTAAAATTCACTGAATCTCCCTTTTGCTTAAATGCCTCCCCTTCACTAGGTGATGGCACCTCTTTTCCCAGTAAAGTACCTCCCATAATATTTGTTCACTCATTTGACATTTGTTGAATGGCCATTGTAGCATACTTAGGCTTGCTTGATGTAAACAGGACCCAGTAAGTAAGCCAGTGTCCTTTCTATTTATGATGAAGATGGGACTCTTGCATTGTATGAACTTGAACTATAGATGCCTTCTAAAGTTAAAAAAAAAAGTCAAGATTGCTTGACTAAGAATTTTCAGCTTCTGGTTGTGTGTGTGTATTTTCCCTCAATTCATAGGACACATATTTTAATGATTATAAGAGGAATCTACTGCAAAGAGAAAAAGATCAAATTTTTCATTCCCATCGAGTGACAATAAATACTCCTTGAAGCCAATAATTATTGTTTTATGAAATCTGTGCTTAATTAATATCTCATAATTTAAAACAAATTAGAAAAAAAGAAATGTATATTAAAATCCAAATATTATACCAAGGGACAGTTGCCCTAGTTAGTTGGAGTAGGTATTGAATGGATAAATTGCTTATCACTAATTCCAGTCTCTCATACCTTTGTAATTCATTCTTTTAACGGGAGTAGCAGGTTAATATTTCATCGCTTAGAGATGCCTACCACAGAACTTTAAAAATTCTTTTCTAATGGACAAAATTGCAAAGCCTATATGGAGGAGTGTGCTTTTGATTATAAGTGGTTCTGGAACATCTCTTATGTATCTTCTTTTCCTCTTCCAGCCCATCCTTGTCCTTACCCTGTTCCATTGAGCCACAATGGAACTAATTTATTGGAAAATATTCACTTAAGATTTTTCTATTAAGAAATGCTTATAATCAGTATTACACATTTCTGGGTTTCAGGGCTCACTTTCTGCCTAACAACTGAGGTTTAATTATTAGTATAGTTATCAAGACCATCTAATTTAGTTTATTAGGGTTTCTTTTTAGGAAATAGTTTGCTGATGTCATGGAAACCTTAGTTTGCAAAATCAGTTATAGTAATACTGTGAATTGCATCTCTTACTTAGAACATGCCGTTTCCTTAGATAAGAAAACAGTAAGTTTTAGTTCCAAATTATATTTAGGAAAACAGTACGGAGTTATTAGTGCTGACAATGAGATGTAGCATATGGACATATTCAAAAAGAATTAGCGTAGTGATGGTTGTACGACAGTGTAACTGTACACTTAAAAATGGTTAAAATTATAAATTTATCTTTTACCACAGTTAAAAATTTAACATCATTTATAGTTTTTGGATATTTCAAATGCATTTTTTTTCTGTTAAAGCAACAACAATAGGTTTTTTTTCCTGCAAATTCTTCTCCTAAAGAGAAGACTGTGTAAAAACTTTTAAAGGTTTTATACCTGTATTTGAATCAAATGAATCTGCCATTTGCTTTTCCTGTTTACTTGCTAAACTTTTCTTTCTTAAGCACAAAAGCCTGGAGGTAAGGGTGAATAGGCATGACTGATGAGGTGATTATTTTGGAAGGAATGCATCAATAGATTCTGTAAGTCTTGCCAGTTGGTCAGTTTGCTTTCATTTGAAAAAAATCACAGTAAAGAGGGTTTTGCAGCCATATTAATGAAGTTCTACATCCCTTTGAAAATGACATTTTTTCCAAATAGGCAGATAGAATAATAGTTTATCCAAGATTATTGTTAGGTTACTCACAAAATACATGATAATTGAAAAAAATTAATTTGAACCATAAGAAGGATATATCATTGTAAAGTTAAATGTTTAAGTATCTGAAAACTGGTTTAATTATTTTTAAAAACTTATTTCCCTTCATTTCTCATTTCCTCTTCCCCATGAGAAACGAACTAAACACATGGTTGCAATTCATCTTATAGTGCAGCATGAAAAAGATTTCTTTTTTTGAGCTAGTGTCTTCTGTTCCTTTAAGAGAGCTCCATGTCTAGTTGCATTTTCCTCTTTGCTTTGGCTGTCAGGCAAGTTAGGTTTAGGACAGGATTTTCAATTCAGTCACCATGGCTTTCTGACATGGCCTGTTAATTTTTTTAAAAAATAATTTTTGCTGTACCCTTCTTACATGTATTACTTAATGCGGTCTTTATTGTCTTAAGGCTTAGTCTTTATGTATTTTTACTGTAAGTCACTTCAGATTCTTCTTGTAACTTAGAGTATAACCATACAAAGAAACATAATCAAACCAGTCTTCTTTCCAGTTTTTTTTCTTTTTAAGTGATACAGTAATGCAGGTAATGCCATTTCGTACAAAAATGGAATCTTAAGTAAATGGTTCCTAGCAAGATTTCTGGCACATACTAAGTCTTCAGTGAATATTGCTGCTGCTGCTGCTGTGATTTTTATCTTCTTTTGGAACATGAACTCTTACAGCTGAAAAGGACCTTAAATATCATTTTATTCAGTCCATTTGTTTTCTAAATGGAAGACTAAAGCGCAGAGAGAGAACATGGCTTGCCAAATCTTAGACTGCTAAAACAGGAGGAAACTGAGTTAGAACTGACGCTTCTTGGCTCTGAGTTTACTGCTCTTTCTGCTGTACTCCATACCTTCTTACAGATCCTCATGCTGCCTCTGTTCACCTTCTTCTCTAGACTTTAAACTCATCAAAGGCAGGCATAGCATCTTGTTCATCGTTATAATACTTAGTAGAGTGCCTGGCACCTAGTAAGGGCTCAGTAAATATTTGTGGAATGTTTGAATAAGACAGGCCTTGTGCCTGTTGGTAGGTTAAACTGGGGCTTTGTCAGAACTGATTGTCAAACTTGCAGCAGAGGGCCTCTAGGAGGGTTCTAGGAGCTTAGATTGGCTAATGGCTGTTTTTTAGATTAGATTCCATAGGATTAATATGGGATTTAGGGGGAAGTCTAGTGACCATGTTGATAACATTTTTATGTGCTATGAAGTTGCTTTTTAGTCTTCGAATGCTTTAGCAATAGCTTATATTGATACTTTTTATAGATGCTATAAAAGAAAGATCGGTGTTCTACTTAGTAGAAATTAACCATAGCTACATCATTTTGTTTTCTAAACTCCAGATACTTTTAAGCCTGAGTCTCTGGTGGCTCAGAGTGTGGCACATCAAGGGACTTAAAGTGGCTGTGCTTTCTATACAGTGTATGTATAAGGAGAGATATAGACAGAGACTTACTGACAGACTCAGAGATACTAAACACATGTCCAGCCAGTGTTAGAGTGAATTGAAATCTGAAGACACTCTGGGAAATAGGTACCTTTCCTTAAAATTCACAAATGAAATACAGAAGCATTCAGGTAACAGAAATGCATAAGTGATGTG